GGGTGGGTGCAAGGTGGCTGGTTGAGGCTGCCGTGCGGGTGGGGAGGTTCAGGACCCAGGTCTCTCTCTCGCAGCACCACGGCAGAGGATCCGGGTCGCTGCCGTGAGCTCAAGGCCTACGGTAGGCACTTCCGTAGGCTAGCCTACGGATGGCCGTAGTGGCCACGCGCATCCTACGGAATTGCCTACCGTAGGCCTTGGCTAGCCTACGGAATTGCCTACCGTAGGTAGGCCTTGGCTAGCCTACGGAATTGCCTACCGTAGGCCTCCGCGCTCCACGCGCGATCCACAGCTGGACGGGGGCCCTTCCGCGACGAAGTGACACAGACAAATGGGCCCTAAATTATTATTATTATCTCCCCCACGGGGGGGCGCCTGCGCGGTGCTAGTCAAGAGGTGCTCCTGAACCTTCAACCCTAAATCCTGAACCCTAAACACTACAGAAGATCCACCATCCAGCCCTGAACCCTTACCCCCACCCCCCAAAGCAGCGACGGGCGCCTGCCGTGCGGGTGAGGAGGGTGGGGGGGGGGGGGGTTAGGATGGAGGGTCTCGCTGCGTGCGTGGAAGGTGGCTGCGTCAGGCTGGGTGTGGCAAGCTCCAGCTGTTTTGGAGCTGTTTTGGACTTTTGCGCAATCTACAGCGGAGCGTCACACACGCGATCCACAGCTGTGGCAATCCCGTAGGCCTAACTACCCCATTTTTGGTCAGTTACCCTATTAAAGTGTATCACATACGCACTTTTCCCCTCTCTCTCTCTCGTTCTCTCTCTCTCCGGGGGCAACGGCGTGTCCAGAAATCAAAACCTGAACGACCTAAAGGGCGCTGCCCCACGCGTGCAGCCAAGTCCATCCCGAGCTGGAGCAACCAAGTCAATAGGGTAACGGCCTGAAAATGGGGTAGTTAGGCCTACGGGATTGCCTAGGACCTCCTACCGTAGGCCGAGACTTTTTGGTCCTAGGATCCCTCGGCCTACGGTAGGAGGTCCTAGGCAATGCCGTATGCCGAACTACCCTATTTTCAGGCAGCTAGCCTATGAAAGTGCATCCCGGGCCGGAGCAAGACAGTTTTTCCATGGCTGGAGCAAGGGCGATACCGTGGGCTCTCTCTCTCTCTCGTTCTCTCTCTCGTTCTCTCTCTCGTTCTCTCTCCCTCTCTCTCCCTCTCTCTCCCTCTCTCTCCCTCTCTCTCTCTCTCTCCCTCTCTCTCTCTCTCCGGGAGCAAGGGCGATACCGTCACCCGAGCCAGCGAGGAGGGCTGCGACTTCCCGGACATCCTTCCCAGCTGTCTGCTCCCCATCCACCCCCAGCACCACCTGATCTCAACCGATTTCATCTCGGAACATACCAGAATGATCTCAACCGATTTCATCTCGGAACATACCAGAATGATCTCAACCGATTTCATCTCGGAACATACCA